TTTACGATGAAAATGAACGCTTTTAAATTATTTTTTCGATTCTATTTTATAAAATAAAGTATTTAAAAGAAGATTTTGACGGCCTATTTTGTTGATTATTATTTTCGATCTCGATGGATAAAGAAAATTTAAAAGCCATTTTCAATGACTTAGGAGTGGCTAGCCAGGGTTATGTTAACAAGGATGAACTTGCGAAGATCTGCGAGTACTTCGGCATGGAAGATATGACCAAAAAGGTTTCAATCGCCATCTTTTTATTCTCTTAAGTTTCTGTGAAAAAATTAGAGTCATTCATATCATTTTTAACTACTCCCCAGGAGTTGGATAAATTATTTCAAGACTTAGACCAGGACAAAGATGGAAAGATTAGTGAGGATGAATTCTTGGTAGGCATGTTCAACAAACCATCTCCTCCGACACCTTCAACTCCAAAATTTCCACCAGATTCCCTACAAGAACCCACAGCTCCTGTTACCTCCCCAGCGCCAAACGTCACACCCAGAAACAAAGACAATAAAACCACACCTGCCAACAAAAACAATGAAACCACACCTACCAATAAAGACATCAACACCACACCAACAAACAAAGATGATGAAACCACACCAACAAACAAAGATGCCAACAACACAAAATCCCCATCATCCACTATTCTACCTACCAAAGAAAATGAACCCCTACCTCCAAAGACCCCCTCAACAAAGGCAGTTCTTGACAAGAACAGTCCAGAAACTGATTCAAAAGATTCCAAATTTGATTCTCTGCCTAATTTTGGTGACAAAAATAAGTTTCCTAACTTATCTGCTACCTCTCGGGCTGACCCAACTGACTGGCTCAATTTTTTGGACCCCAACCGAACTGGGTGTGTTTTTAAATTTGAAATTTTTTGATAGATTTATAAAATTTATGATAAAAACCTGCAGTTGTTACAACATTTAAACCATAAATCCATAGAATTGTAAAATAAATGCTTGCCATAAGTGTATTTTTTTATAAATTTAATTTTCATTTTGCTTTCACTTTCAATTTAAATAGCTTTCATTTTAAATATTTAAAAAGTTTAAATCTACATCTAAAAAAATTAAATTAGGTTCGTAAAGGGCAGAGATGTCATTGATTACATGAGTAGATGTAAAATAGCTGATGGGGAAAACATATTGAAAGTATTGTAAATTTACATTTTCGACAATATGTGTATATGCATGTGTATAATGTGTGTGCATGCGTGCGTGTGTGTGTTTTTTTTTAACACATTCATACAGTTATACTGATAAATGATAAAGGCTGATACTGCTACTACTACTACTACTACTACTACTACTACTACTACTACTACTACTACTACTACTACTACTACTACTACTACTACTACTACTACTACAGATTACTACTACCGCTACTGTTACTACTACTACTATTCCAAATATTATTGTTACTAGCATTACTACTACTACTAATAATAATAATAAAGATAATAATAATAATAAAACAGAGATTGAACTTTGACCCCGTGGGTAATATTGCCCCCAGTCAGCTGGCCAGAGTTCTCGAACAGCAGCTGAAGAACTCGAAAGATGCAGCTCTGCATGATGCTGCTGCTGATATGCTACTGAATTCTACTGATAAGTTGTGGTCAGTTGATGATGATGATGATGATGATAATGGTGATAGTTCGTCGTGATGATGGTAGGAGTGGTGATGATGATGGGGTTATGATGACGTTGCTGGTGGTGACGATGATGATAGTGTTTTTGATGATGATGATGATGGTGATGATGATGGTGATGATGATGGTGATGATGACAAAACAATTTTATTTCGTCCCCTTATATTCTGAAGAGTTTTTTTAGAGGTATTGTTCTTTAAAAAAAAAAGTACGTTTTAAAATGCATGTCATACACGCCATCTATGTGGTATTCGTATGCTAATTTTGGGTATTTCCAACGTTCCGAACAAACCTAATAGGAGAGATAATGAGGATTTAGTGGAGGAGTGCGATAGACTGAATGAAGAGGTGGAAGAGTTGAAGAGCAATCTGAAAGATGCCGACGAACTATTGGATGCCATTGAACAGAAGAAAGATATGGAAGTTAAGTGAGTGAATGGATGAATAGATGAATTAATGGATGAATGAATGGATGCATGGATGAATGAATGGATGCATGGATAAATAGACATCATGGTGATGGATGGATTGATGGATGGATAAATAGATTAACAGACAAATGAATGAATGAAGGCATGAATAAATGAATGAATGAACCTTAATAAATATGTAACGAAAATTAACGGTATCTAATATAAATACTTAATCTCTCTTTCGTTTATTTATTTGAATGTGAAACAGGAATTTATATCAATCAATCACTCAATCAACAAATCAATCCATCAATCACTCAATCAACAAATCAATCCATCAATCAATCGATCAACAAATCGATCAATCAATCAATCGGCCAATCAATATTTTTTTCGCAGATTATTAGAAGAAGCAAACCAAAAATTAAGAGATGAACTGACTGAGGCTAAGAAACAAACGAAATCATCATCATCATCGCCTCCACCAACGACATCATCATCATCAGCAATGCCGTCAAAATCTGATAGAGATGATTTTGAAAAATTGAAGAAAAAATTAGAAGATAGTCTGAAGGAATCGATGGATGAGTGTGAGAGGTTGAGAGTGAAAAATGAAGAATTAGAAAGTGTTAGTACCTCTTTTTTTCTCTGGTACTTTGTTAGTGTCCTCATTCATTCATTCATTTATTCATTCATTCATTCATACATTCATTCATTCGTACATTCATTCATTCATACATTCATTCATAGGAAATTAAAAAGTTAACTGAAGACTTGAACAATGCATCAACGATTAAAGATACAAATTATGAAGCCACCAAAAAGGTCCTTATGAGTTCATCAAATCATTTTTCTCCAACTACCTATCACAATTTCGGCCATAATCATCGCAACCAATCATATTTGACCATGCTTTATTGGTAACCAATTACATTCTATTTCGGTTGTAACCATGGGGACCAATCACATTTTTGTCATATTTTACTGGCTACTAATTAGTTTTTTCTTTATAATCATATCTACCAATCAAATTTCATCACACTACTGCCTACAAATCAGAATTTTTCCTCTATAAGCCCACCAACCTATGACAGTTCATATATAATAAACATATTTTTCAGCGTAAAATGTTAAATTGAATTAATTAAAGGACAAATTTTCATAAGTTTGATTTTAATTGAGTAAATAATTAACTTAAATTGATTTTTAATGATTTTAACTAAGAAATTGGACGATGGTGATGATGAGAGTGATAATAAAGTAAGGCTATCAAATGACCGGTACTCTTCGCTAGATTTCGGTAAATATTTTTTATGCTTTCAAAACATTTTAAACATTAGAATAATATTTAAAAAAAGACAAATAACAATAATAATAATAATAATAATAATATAAATAATAATAATGGTGATGGTGATGACGACGATATTGATGAAGAGGACAACGATGACGATGGTGAAGATGATGATAACAAAAATAGCAATAACAACAATAATAATGACCCATGCAGATGACGCAAACATCTCTGATGACGTACGTAGAACGATCCAGAGAGAAATGGACAGAAGGGAAAAGTTGGCTGCCGATGAAAGAAAGCAGGCTGAAGGTTTCTGATTATTATTATTGTTGTTGTCGTCCTCATCTTCATCATCGTCATCGTTCATCTTCTTCACCAATATCGTCGTCATCGCCATTATTTTTATTATTATTATTATTGTTGTTGTTGTTGTTATTAGGTGCCTTGTTGTTAGAAATTTCGGAGCTCGAAAGCAAACACGCAGACGAGTTGGAAAAGTTGAAAAAAGATCATAAAAAAGAAAAGGTCATTATAATTATTTATGTTAATTATTAATGAATGAACGAACGAATGGACTAATGAAAGAATGTATGAATGAATGAACGAACGAATGAATGAACGATCGAATGAACGAAAGATCTTCTAAACATGAACAGGACGACTTATTAGCCAGTCAACAGCGCGCCATAGCGGATGCAATAGCGGAAAAGGAAAGAGATCTGATGAAAGATTACGTGAAAGATAAATTATCATCATCAGCGTCACAACTTCCGGTCTCATCGGCTGATGAATTAGAGTTGGTGATGATGATGGTGGTGATGATGATGATGATGATGGTGGTGGTGATGATGATGATTTGAATTATGATGATGATAATGCTGGTTTTCATTTTTGGCCTTTTTAGTAAAAAATAAATATGTCTAACATTGATAATTCTTTTGATTTCAAAAAAAACACACACACAAGCACACACATACACACACATAACACACACACATACACACACACACAGTAACAAAAATAAAGAAATAACCAGACTGCAAAACGAGTTGGAGAAACAATCAAAGCTCATTGAAGACTTACAACAGCAAATGAAAGACGACAACAACAACAACAATGTGGAGGAAGCAAAACCAACAACAACAACAACAAAGAAAGACAGCCACTCATCTATCATTCCAACCGAACTGAGAAAATTTTTCACATCTGACGATGACCTGGTTGATGACGTCAAAGATTCGATTAAAGAAAAAGATGACGTCACTAATATGGTAAGTAGTGAAGGTGTCGATGCTATGCGTGCTAATGTCGTTAAAAAGGTTGACGTCACGTCGCAGACCAATGAAAATGACGTCATCGTCGAAAAAATTGAGACAGGAATTCAAACGGAAAAGGTTATAATCAGTAAGGCTATTGATAGAAATGATTTCGCCGGCCAGACCGATGACGATGACGTAATCGCCATTGAGAGGAGCGACATTCATTGCCAGACAAATCACGTAGTGATAAGTGACGTCATAGAGAAGATTAATTTGCATACGCAGACGGATGAAATTGAGAAGGTTTTTTCAGATTCTGAAGTTCAGACTGGGGAGGTCCAAGGTGACGATACGAAGTTTGCGCATGTAGAAACTCAAACAGCATCTAACGAAGTCATGCACGCGAAGACTCAAACGTCTATAAATGACGTCACTTACGTCATGACACAAACCGATGATGATTTAGTTGCTGCTGCTGTTGAAGCGACCACACAGACCACATCTGAGGAACTAATTAGCACATACATACAAACAGATACAGGCGTATCTAGAGATACATTCACACAGACATTTGAGCAGAGTGACGATGATGATGTTGAGAAATTCATAGACGTGACGTCACAAACTGAATCACGTGACTCTGTTGACGTTTCGTCGCAAACCGAACAACCGCGTGACTCCGTCGCTGAGGTCTCGGCACCAACAATGGCCACTGATCTCAATGACATGTCGATTCAGACTGACGACGAACTGAAAGAATCAACAGCAGCGCAGACATCAACAGTTGAGTCAGTTGATGTAACGACGCAATGTGAAACAACGGATGAGAAAAATGTTGATGTCATGATGCAGACTGAGGATGTTATTAACGCCAGCAATGACAACATATCCACACAAACGTCAATCGTTGGTGTCAGTGAGGTGGAGACACAGACGGAGGATAACGTATTTGGTGTCCCAGATGTTGTTGATGTTAGTAATAATGAACTAGAATCACTGAGACCATCAAGAGCCTCGCTGACTGAAGAACATGATGCTTCCAACAAGACATCTATACAGACTGATGTAACTGACGTCATCAAAGTGCCGGTAACAGCGTCAACAACAACAACATCAACCGTCACAGCACAGACCCAGACAAGTATTATTGAGGGTGACGTCATTAACAACGACACGTCACCAGCAACATCACAGCAACAACAATTTAGAAACATCGAAACAACGATAACCGCAACAACGTCAACTCAAACTGATTTCGAATTAGACGGTTATGATGATAATAACGATGAGAGAGGCGATCATGATAATGATGATAGAGAAAAGCTACTGAAGCAGTACCAGGCGAACATTAGCGAGTTGAAGAGCAAGATAGCAGCAGATGAGAAGCACATGTCGCAGGTTATTCACGAGATGGATCTTATGATCAGCGATTTGGAGGATAAGTTGGAGCTTTCCTACAAGGTGAACAAGAAGCTGGAGAAAGTCATTAAGGACAGAAATGAAGAAATTACAAGTCTGAAAGAGTCACAGAGGCATCGGAAAGATGGCGATGAGAATGTTCTGTCGTCGCGACAACTGCGACAACCACACCAAAACCAACCACAACTACAACCACAGCAACCACAACTACAACCACAGCAACTACAACCACAGCAACCACAACTACAACCACAGCAACCACAACCACAGCAACCACAACCACAGCAACCACAACTACAATCACAGCTACAACCACAGCAACCACAACTACAACTACAGCAACTACAACCACAGCAACCACAACTACAACCACAGCTACAACCACAGCCAGCACCTTCACAATCTAGATCTCAACCGGTAAACTCAGATTTGAGCGATTTTGACAACGTCATTAATAACATTCCAGACGAATCGATTGAAAATCTAATAAAAGATTATGAAAGCAAACTGAATGACGTCAGGCTGGAGTTTGAAAAGGAAAGATCAAAAATAAAACAAGATCATGATAAGGAAATTAAAAAACTGGCGGATGACTTCGCTACCGCCATTGACAGTTTAAACAAAGATAGGGAAAGGAAACTGAAGGAAATGGAAAATAAGGAAAACCCAAAGACTATAAATAAAATAAAAGATCTAGAAAGTAGAATAAGCGATCTCATGATGACGAACGAAAGAATAATCTTAAACTTGACGAAAGATAATGAAATAAAAAAGTTAGAAATAAAAAACTTGAACGCGTTAGCGGAGAAATTAAAAAATGAAAGCAAAATGGAAAAAAATGACTTTAAAAACGCTTTGAGAAGACTAAAAAATGACTTAGTGAGTCCTTCGTTTTCTCGAAACTTATTTTATTAACAATTTATTTTGTGTTTAATTTGCAGAGGGTGGAAAAAGAAGTAAAGTTGTCGTCGGCTGGTAGTGGCAGACTGGAGACGTACTTGAGAGAGCAAATTAGTGATTTGTGCAGGCAGAATGCTGAGTTGATGAGTCGCAACGAGAAGGTAGAGAAAGTTTGATGTTGGGGGTGGGTTGTTTGTTTGTCTGTCTGTCTATTTGTCTGTCTGTCTTTCTGTCTGTCTGTTTGTTTGTTTGTTTGTCTATTTGTTCGTTCCTTCTTTCGTTTATTTATTTAATTTTTTCAACGTTAAGATGAATGAACAGTTAAATAGGATGTCTCCCAACCTCAATAACAAATCGCACTTTTCCACAGAACAATTAGTGGTTAGTAAATTATTTGATTCATTTATTCTCGCATTCATTCATTCATTCATTCATTCATTCATTCATTCATTCATTCATTCATTCATTTATTCATTCATTCATTCATCCATCCGTCCATTCATTCGTGTGACGATTCTTATGAATATTTCCTTCCAGTATTCTTATTTGGAATACTCATTTGAATATAGTGTGTGTGTCTGTATGTCTCTGTGTGTGTGTGTGTGTGTGTGCGTGTGTGTGTGTGTGTCTGTTTGTGCTTGTTGCTGATATTTTTGAGAAATACGTAAGAGAGAATTGCTAAAAAGTAAAGAATAAGAAAAGTAATAATAGTAAAATGATGGAGATGATGAAATTTTTAAAAATTCACCCAAGGTTGACAAGGCAGATGTGATGGCCGAGAGAGATTTGCTACGAGATCAGTTGAGAAGAACGCTTAATCAGGTAACCGCCCATTCACCCGTTCATTCATTCATTCATTCATTCATTCAATCATTCATTTTTTCATTTATCCACCACAGGTTTTTTATTTCGCAACGGTGTGACTGCCTTAATTTTTCAACCTCTTAAACTTTCACCACACGCACCCCGCAGCTGAATGATGTCACGACAGCCCTCACCGCCTTAACCAATCAGCATCGAGCCGAGAAACAAGCATGGACGCTAGCCAAAGATCAGCTGATCGACCCTGCTAAATATCAGCAACTGGCCAGCAAAATGGCCTGGACCGAAGCAGCTAACGAAAAGCTACAAGCCATGCTGGAGCGTAGTCAGTTGGAGTCGACTAATTTGTTAACTGGTTAGCTATACGTTATTAATATTGTTGCTATTGTTATGTTACTTGTCTCTGCTGTTGTTATTGTTATTATGATTATTATTATTATTCTATTTTCCAGCTGCCAGGGAATCTTTCGACAAAAGTCTGAATGATTTAAACAAAGAAAAATTATTGAGCGATAACTACGTGAATAAGCTGACCGGCCTCATCGATAACAAAGACCAAAGAATCAAACAATTTGTTAGCCAACTATGTTCTTACTTTATTTTTATATCTATGGTTAGTCTTACTTTGACAAAGCCAACAAGCCTAACAATGAAATAAGAATAATAATTTGTATAGCGCTGAGTTATTATTTTAGAGGCATTCCTTTACAAAAAAAAATGTTTAATATTAATTTTCCTAATAAAACACTTAAAAATCATATATCTATGCGTGCAGACGGAATTATTATAGTTAATTATAATTATTATAATAATTTTAATTTTATAATTATTTAAATAATTATTATTATAGTATATAAAATTTAATTAACCTGTCGTGATAATATCAAGAACGACCAACAAAAGAAGACGGAAAAACTGATAAAAGATTTGTACAGCGAAAACGCCCGTCTCGTTAAATATCTACAAGTCTTGGAGAAACAGAAAAATGATTTGAACTCCACTAACAAGTTGCTAGAAGATAAATGTTTGGCCCTTGGCGACTTGGTCAGAAGGCTCTGTCCGGCTGCTGTACAGTGATTTTGATTTCTGCTAGAAGTTTTGTTTTTTGTTTTTTTTTTATTTTTTTGTTAACTCTTTGTAATAAATTTGATAATTTTTTATAATTAAGATTTTAGAGATTTGAGGAATGAATTCGTTAAATTTTTTAAAAATTTGTTCGATTTTCGTATGTTTTTTAACGTAAAAATGTTAATATTTCACTAATTTGTAAGATATGATTGTTAAGTTTTCACTAACTTGGGAGTAAGATCAATTAATTTCGTTCTCGTTGTACCATTTTTGTAGTTTATCATAGGGGTGGGCAAACCTTTTGCTGTAAGGGCCGCATTGAAAATTATTTTACCTTTGAAGGGCCGCATATGTATTTAAATAGCAAATTTTTTCGACCCGGGGGAGAATTTTTTTAAGATTTATGGTTCCTTTTTTTGGTTATGATGTCTGGCTGGCGCCCTTTTTTTGGCGAACAATGCCTCGTGGTCCCCATAAAAGAATAGCTCCGCTGTCCACATGTAGTTAGCCCACCCCTGGTTTATCGGATAGTTTATTTCTTTTTATTTAATTTAATTTTATTTAATTTTTTTTATATATTTAATATGGTGGCTACAGTTTTATAATGAATTCACTTTTAATCACAGTATTTATTTATTTATTGCCTTCATTTATTCATTCATTTATTAAATAACTATCTTTTTTACATATTCGATCATTCATTTTATTGACTTTTTTCTGTTTTAGTGCTATCTATCTATTCTCATTAATGTGTATTTAATTATTTTTTTATTCTAAAAAGGTATTTCATGAATTCAATTTGATTTCATTATATAGAATTTTAATGCTTCGACGGTTGTGCAATTAGTCAGTGCCTTTAAATGCGAATACACACACACACACAGTAATTTTGCAGAACGATTTTTATATGCAATGTTTATATGAAATAACGATTATATATTAACAAAAAGGATATTAATACATATCAACGACACTTCACGCATGGATTATTAGATATATTTTTGAAAAAAATTTCATAAGTCGCGGTTGTTAATAAATAAGCTTTTCTATATATTTACAAATAAATATTAACATTGATATTTACATTTACGAAAATTGCACAACACATGATTATAAACACAATTTGTTGTACATCTGTAGATGAAGTGTCGCAATCCAGTTTCCCTGGCGATCGATCCTTTCGATCAATTTACTCCTTGCTTCTGTATCCGCTCTCAAATATTTCTTTCTGACGAGCATTGTATACCATTCTAGCGGTCCGAAAACAGTTTCAAAATATTTAACCACAACCAGAGATGGTATCACTACTAAAATTCTAATTCTCTAATTGGTTTGTTTTCTTATCTTTGACTCTGCGGTTTTGAAACCAATATTTAATTTGGCTATCATCTAATCCGGTTTGCTCGGCGATCCGTTCCCGATCCTTTCGTTCAATAAACCCTTTGCTTTTGTACTCTATCTCTAATAGATTTCTCTGATGAGCAGTGTACACCATTCGATAACTTTCTGCGGTCCTTCTCCTTATCCGTGGTCCGTTTCGTCTTCTCGATGTCCTCGTTTTTTGTTTTTTTGAAGTAGTTGTTGGCTCAGGTTCGCAATTCAGAGATTGTTGTGGTTGAAATGACTGTTGAAAACCTTCCAATACAATATGTCTTTGTGTTTGTTGATGCGACTGAATTACTACTTGTTGAGTTGGTTGGTTTGGCTGTTGTCCTATGCTAGGACAATTTTCTTCCAGCCATTTTTCCTTTTCCGGGAGTATTAGAAACTCCTTAAGAATGTCATAATATTCCGAATACTCGGACCTCGATTGGATTACTGCTTGTTGGATTGGTAGGTTTGGTTGTTGTATGGAAGGACAATTTTCTTCTAGCCATAGTACTTTTTCCGGAAGTTGTAGGAATTTTTGAGGTATTTCATACATATATGAATATTCTACTTTCGACTGTGCTGGAGTAATATGTTCAAGTTGTTTGGATGACATTTTAATTTAGTTTTAACAATTTAAAAAGTTATTTATTACTCTACGCTAAGTCCGCAATCAACCTATTAAACTTTTGAAATAATGACTACAGACTCCATGCACTTTCTTTATATGTAGTTTCCGAACCAACGATTGTAAATCGATTTCTTTGTATTGGTTGCTATTTATTTATCTAATAAATTAATTTAATTAATGGACGGTAATTTAATAAAAAGCTAATAATCTTAAATTCATTAGTTTATAAAAATCTTGTAAATTCATTAGTTTAGAAAATTTGCTACGCATAACAAATTGTTATACAATAATTATATTTAATAACTAAAATTTCACATGACAAATCAGTCCATAAAATCATGACTTTGATGTTGGTATAACATCTTTGCTTGTAAAGCTGGTATAACATCTTTGCTTGCAAAGTTGGTTTATGTTGGTATAATATCTTTGCTTGTAAAGTTTAACAGTCCTTGCTTATTTTAATGTTTGAAACTGGAGTATTTCATTATAAAATATTTTGGTTTAGTTGATATTTTATTTTTACTAGTAGTATTTTTCACCTTAAGCATTTACTAATTTTTTTATAGGACTCTTCTATTTAGTTTAAATCGAAAATTTTCAAAAACAAGAATTTTATCCAATTTGTCAATCATATAATAACAATTCTAAGACTTGTCACACACAACATAATGCGAGGAGTGCTTAGTTTCGTATTTCGAACGAATTTCGTCGTGATTAATTATGTAAACTGCTTATGACTTGTCTTCTATTTACGAATAAAGCTTTTTTATAAAAACATAAGAAGCCTTTGCTGGCCTTTCTGACATTTGTTTATCCGGGCGCCTCTTATCTTATTATTATTTATTAATTTATTAAAATCTGAACTTTTTCAAAAACTTCGTTTAATGTCAACTTGTCGTTGTCTGTTGTTATGGTTATAATAGTTGCTGATGTTAGTAGTGGACGTTGTCGTTGGTTAGGTAAGAAGAGTGGTTGTTGATCCAGCAGCAGTGTACCAATACGTCATCTCCTCCTAGAAATTTTGCTGTACCTTCTGAGTTATGCGTTACCGGACAGTCGTTCATTTTAGATGACATTTTAAAACGATTAAAAGTTATTAAATTTAATTGTAAAAATTAACTAAAATTTAATTATGAAATAGTTAAATTCAGTCATATGTTTTTAAATAATTATAAAATCTTCCAAAAGAATTTATAATGAATAAGTTAAAAAATATATTTTTCTGTTATCGGCTAAGCTAAATAAACTTCACATAAGATAAATTCATTTATAAATCAGTTGAAACATTTAAATTCTTAGATAACATTTATTATGAAAATTACGACCTGTTTATATACCATTTCACTTCAAGATTATTTAATATAATTATTTTTATTCAAGCGATTTAAAGATCAAGATCTAGTTTCAAACAAATTTTTAACGATCCCTTTTCTTAGGTTATAATTTTTTTCATATTTTGCTTTGGTTTCAAATTTTATTATAAGAAATGAAGATATGCTTACTTTCGCATCCTTTTATATTAGACCGTAGACGCGTGTCTATCGATGGTTTTAAATGGTCTAAGTTAGACACGAGACCAATTAGGCTATCGATGAAAGCGAACTTTGTCACGCTGATACACTCTTACTGCAACCGTCTGTTAGGTTTATCAATTTCATTGCCAAAAATTTATTACATCTTTAAAATCTATTACAGAAAGTTTTTCATTCGTAATAAAATTATCATAAAACGTTTGAGTTTTCTAACGAACGTAAATGAGATTTTCCATAGAAAGTACTGAAATAGTAATGTAATGGTTTAATAGTAATGGCACTGAAATAGTAATGTTTTTATTTTGTATGAGCCATGTCGATTTATCCAAAAATTTTGGTTAAATGGCTGAATGAATGGTTATGGTGCCTGGTTTCGATGCTCCAGTGAATGGCTTCGATGAATAAAATGAGAGCAAAGATTCATCGTTGGGATTTCTTCTTGAATTATTCACGAAAAAATATTTCAAGATTTTACCAAATTCGAGTTTTTGTTGTTCAAAATGTTTTAAAATACGAACGATTTAAAAACGCGACGAAAAAAATGCTGCTGACATTACATAACGTATCAAAACATAATTAAGATTTTTACGGTGATTCAAGAAGATTGAGTTTGTGACATGACCACTACGATATTTTACTATCCTATTCTTGGCAAGTGTGCTTTGAACTTATTTCTTGTTTACGCGCAAATTTCTTAAACTCAAGTAATTTTAAAATTATAACTCCACCATTAAATTTTAGATTTCTTATCATGTTCAGTTGTTTATTTCTTAATTTTTTTTATTTCTTCTATATTGATTTTTATCATGTAACGGTTAGTCTGGCGACTAATTCAGTTAACTGTTTTTTATTCGGCAAGCAACATTTGTTCTAATAAATAATGAAATATGAGTTAGTTACATTTTATATGGAAAAAATTAAATAGATCAAAGAATTATAAACTGACATACGCATATAATAAATAATACTGATATATAATCCTGATAAAGATAAATTTCTTCGAAACAGTTTGAAAATATTTAACCCCAAACAAGAGATGGTAGCACTAAAAGTTCTCTAATTTTTTTTTCTCTTGTTTTTTCTCTTATCTCTGACTCTGCGGTTTTGAAACCAATATTTAATTTGGCTATCATCTAATCCGGTTTGTCCGGCGATCCGTTCCCGATCCTTTTTATCAATAAACTCTTTGCTTCGGTATTCCATCTCTAATAGATCTCTCTGATAATTAGTGTATACCATTCTGTAACTTTCGGCGGTCCTTATCCGCGGTCCGTTTCGTCTTCTCGATTTCCTTGTTTTTTGTTTTTTTGAAGTAGACTCAGGTTCGCAATTCAGAGATTGTTGTGGTTGAAATGACTGGGGCTCTTGTTCGTCTTGTTGGTAATTAGAATTTTGGAATGGTGGAAGTTGTTGTTGGAATTGTAGATTTTGTTGCTGGAATACATCTGGTTGTTGTTGGAACTCCGGTTGCTGATATCCGAATTCTGGCATATTTTGTTTAAAGTCTGAGAGTTTATGTTGAGCTGTTGGTAGTTGAAAAGGAGGTAATTGTAAAGTTGTCAAATCCAGATACTGAATTACAGGTTCATCGGTTGATAACACTTGTTGCGGTTGTTGTGTTTTGTATTCATTTAGTTGCATAGGATTGCATGTTTGTAGTTGTTGATGCTGCTGCATAGACATGCAGGCAGGTTCTCGTTCTTGTTGCATAAGATTGCCTGCCTCTCCTTGAAGCAGCTGCATCGGATTGCGTGCTAGTCGTTGTTGAAGCAGGAGCCTGGGCTTATATGCAGGTTCTTGTTGCAGAAACATGAGTTCGGATACTGGTTCCTGGGGTTGGCATGTTGCAACAGCTTGCCTATAAATATGCCGGAATTCTTGAAATGATGGTATTATTGAGTGCTCATCAAATTCTGGTAGGGTTTGTTGTTGCTGCTGATATGATGGCAAAAATGACTGCTGTTGTCCGTGGTTAAAATTTTTCATCTGATAACCCGCATGCTGCTGAATTTGTGGTTGTAAGTCAAAAATTTGATTATTTGAAATAATTGATGCTGACACAGATGTATCGGAAGAAGTTGAAGAAGGAATCCGATTATCAACCTTATTCCACCCATCGTTTGAACATGAGTTTGAGGAGACGTTGTTGTTTGAGCCAGGTACATCGTCAATTTTTTCTATTTTCAATGCACCCATAAAACATCCTTGAAAAAATTCGTCTTCTCCAGCACCAAACAAATAGGATGGCTCACACAAATCATTTTTCTGATTGAAATACATTTTTACTCAGTCTAAGCAGTTAAATAATGAAATGTTAAAAATCACCTCCTTATATATAAGACCACTTTCGTCTTAACAATAATGAATATGTTTTATTACGGACTTTAGACTTCATTCTTAATATTTATTTCGCTTTCTATAACTAAATCGTAAAATTCATCAAATTAATTAAAATTGTAAAACTCGTAAAATGTGGTAGTGGTTTTAAATGTGTTTATATGTTGATATCTTGATCATATAAAATCGAGTTAATAATTTACTTAAAATTCCCTACCTTTATATACTTCCTCGACCACTCATTGTTGGAAACTCAATAAAGTAACACTTTTATTTTATTACCAACTTCTCAAGTTTATCAAGATCTTCTATTCAAAATATAACAAAATCGTAAACATCGTAAAAATCTGGTGGTGGTTTCAAATTCTCACAGCCAATAAAAGTTGCCTTTGTTGGACGATCTCTTTGATGAAGAAAGAGGAAGACAGACGTGGCTTTATCGATCGCTCCGCTCTTTCATTGGCATCGATTAAGTAGACGCCTATCAATTAGCTATCGATTATTCTCACGAGCTCCATCTACTGGTTGAACGGTTTAGTTCCGCGAAAAATAGAAAAAATTACTGAAAAGTTTTGCAAAATTTCTCTTACATTCAGCTATTCAATTCCTTTTAGAAATTTGCAGTTAATTATTTTAATACATTTCCAAGCATGCCAAAATGTAAACGCGTATGCATAAATTAGATGTTTAGTTATAATAGTAAAATAATTAGTAAAATACTTCAACATGTAGAATATAGAAAATATTCCTGTGGCAATCCGAAAAAATACAAATTTATCTTTGTTGATCCGGTTAAAACTTAAATAAGTATTATTGCATTTTTATTATCACTCTTGTAATTATTAATTTTATTATTATTATTATATTATTATTATCATTATAGGTATATATTATTGTATTTATATAGAATTGATTTTAAATTAAAATCAAAAACAACAAATGAATTAATTAATAATTTTTAATCACCTGAATTCAAATCTCATGCAACACCGAAAACATTGATCCCAATATTATTATATCAATCTTAATTATAATGAAACACAATGAAACAAAATGTTCGTTATAGCAGTTTAAAATCTTTGTCATCTAAAGAAATCCTTATGGTCTTATTTTGCCTTTTTCTTTCCTAGTTTTGGCCCTCCTATTTTGAAACCATATTTTTACCTGTTTAGTATCCAATCCGGTCTCTTTTGCGATCCGATTCTGATCATCCGGAGAAATGAATTCCTTCACACTGTATTCCCTTTCTAGGATTTCTTTTTGGTAGGCTTTGTAGACTATCCTGTAACTTTCTGTGGTTCTTATTGGTTGTCGTTTTCGTTTCCTCTTTGGTCCGGTTGGCTGCGTTTCAGTCTCAGGAACCTTAAAGTGAATTTGGGGTTGCTCTGGATTGTAAGGCTGGGATTGAAATGACTGTGGTGTTATTTGTTCTGCTTGTTGGAATGCTGGTTGTTGTTGTTGGAATGTTGGTTGTTGGAATGTTGGTTGCATTTGTTGTCGTTGGAAAAACTGAGGTGACATATGTGATCGTTGTTGAAGCTGCTGTGAAAAGTTTGGGACGGCTAATTGTTGGCGATGTTTGTAAAATTTAGGAATCACTTGATCTTCTTCTTCATCTTCATTTTCTGACTCATTTGTTGGTAATATTTTTTGCTGTTGGTGATGATGTTGTCTCTGCTGTTGAAAAATTGGTTGTTGGCGATGGCTGTAAAGTGTTGGTATTAGTTGTTCTCTTTCAAAATCTTCTTGTTGAAAGCAAGTTTGTTTTTGTTGTATTGGTTGTAAAACTTGCTCCTGTTCATGTTCAATTTGGGATATTGGAAATAATTGCTGCTGCTGTTGTGTGCCTTTGTAGGCTTGTTGTTGTGTAACGTGGCATGCAAATCGTTGTTGCTGTTGTTGCGTGGGCTTGTTTGCTTGTAGCGGTTGCTGCTGCTGTGTAGGCTCATATGCTTGTTGTTGTTGCTGCTGTTGTTGCGCTGGCTTGTCTGCTTGTAGTTGTTGCTGCTTCTGCTTCTGTTGCTGGTTGTTTGCCTGTTGTTGTTTCTGCTGCTGTTGTTGCGCGGGATTGCTTGCTTGTAGTTGTTGCTGCTCATTGGGTTTGTATGCTTGTTGTTGTTGGTATGCTGGAACAGTTTCTCCATAGTGTTGATAAAAGTTTTCAAATGGTGGCAACATTGAACGTTGATGAAATGATGGTAATCTATTCATTTGCTGCTGATGTAATGGTAAGATTGGCTGTTGCTGTTGGTTGTAGTGAAAAGGCTGCATATGATAGTCAGCATGCTGCTGAAATCGTGATTGTATTTTATGCATCATTTGATTGTTTGAAACTTTTGAGTCGGATGATGATTGAGAGGAGGAAGAAGATGCTGGAGAAACCTGCGGAGCATCAACAACGTTCCATCCATCATTATCACTTTTGTTTGAGAAGTAGACTCTCTCCGAGTTGGCTGGTACATTTGAAATGTTAGCACCGTTCAATAGATGATTGTTGTCATCCATTGTTTGCATCAAATTTGGGAAACTTTCTTGGACATGTTGCGGCCCAGCACCGCACATATACATCGGACCGAATAAGTCATTTTCGTAAAACATTTTGCTCAGACTAAATGTGATTTTGGAAGAAAATTGATTCTGTTTACGATTGTTAGGTAGTTAATGTGTTTATTTGTTAACAATGTGATCTGGATCATATAAAACCGAGTTAATAAATTACTTAAAATTCCCTACCTTTATATACTTCCTCGACCACTCATTGTTGAAAACTCAATAAAGTAACACTTATTTTATTACCGACTTCTCAAGTTTATCAAGATCTTCCATTCAAAATATAACAAAATCGTAAACATCGTAAAAATCTAGTGGTGGTTTCAAATTCTCACAGCCAATAAAAGTTGCCTTTGATGTGCCTGCTTTGTTGGACGATCTCTTTGATGGAGAAGGGAGAGGACAGACGTGCCTTTATCGATCGCTCCGCTCCTTCACTTCCATCGATTAGGCGGACACCTATCAATTAGCTATCGATTGATGCGATGTGCGAATTATAACGGAAACATCTGCTCCATCTACGTTTCGACGATTTGTTTTTTTGGGAAATATAGAAAAAAAGTTAAACTTCTAAAAAAAAAATCAAACGCCTTTCATTGTATTTTATTTCATTTTATTGCTTATAAACCTTTTATTTGTAGTAACGTTCAGTTGGTTAAATTCAGTCGTGAAATTTAAACAGTTAAACACGACAGCAGCAGTGAGTAACGTAAAAAAGAATAACATTTAAGATAAAAACTTTGTGATTTCACACTTCGGCATGACGTCATCACACATACAAACACACACACACAAATATCTTCTTCTCTACTCGTTATTATCAAATCCATTTGAAATATGTACGTAATATAAAAAGATAAGATGAAACTAACGAAAAAACATGACATTAAAGGTCAAAATTAAAACCTTTTCAAACTTCAATCCTACCTTGTGCGTGAAATTGCTAGAATCAAGGAAAGCATAGTAATCGTGAAATAATTATCGTAACAGATAATAACAAATAAAAATGTCTGGCCACAATTTCTAAACATTTTAAACGTTTCGGTTGTTAGCTGAGTTTATATTTGGATGAATAAAAATGTTTAATGATGAAAAACAAAATGCATAGTAGTGACAGAAATGTCAACGATAATTTTTATATTGTCATTTCTCTCTCTCTCTCTCTCACACACACACACACACACACACACACACACACACACACACACACACACACACACACACACACAAACACACAACACACACACACGTACAAACACTATTATAAACATAAAAATTAGTATTAAAAATGTCAGTTACTAGGTTCAAACATCTCAAATCTATATATATATATATATATATATATATATATATATATATATATATATATATATATATATATATCCACATAAATCTTTAAAATAGGAACCATTTATAAGGCATTCCATTATTAATGGATTTTATTATTCGAGATATTTAATTTTATTGCTTATACACCTTTATTATTGATTCATAAAACCGTTTATATTATATTATAATAATATAATAATAATAAATAATAATAAAACCATTTATATTATATTATAATATAAATAGTTGTATATTATAATATAAAATATTTAATTATTTATTTATGAGAAATTGCGTTGACAAGCCTGTAAATGAATTCATTGTACATTCTGCTGTTGACTTCGTTTCTAGCGAATGACTTGAACATCTCAATCATATCCCACAGGATGGAAGGCTCCCTAATGATCTCCGCGTTGACCAAGCTATTGAGGGCCAGTTTTATTGGGTCAGTGTTTGTCCAGTTCCTGAAAAATACATGCATACATACATGCATGCATACATACAATTCATTCATACATACATGCACATAGAAACATACATTCATTTCATAGAAAAATACATACATCCATGTGTTTTTACGTATCTAAGTATCTAATTATGTGTCAATGTAATCGGAAATACTGATGACGACCTCTTGAATTTGATTGACATCTTCCATTGGCCAGCTACCCGGGCAACATTCATGTAGGAGCCCATCACTACAGTGTACAGCGTGCCGGCCAGCATGTACAAATCATGCTGTGTGGTATTTTTTCGTACATCAACATACACAGATACACACACACACACAAACAAACAGACACACAAACACACACACAAACAAACACACACACAAACAAACAAGCACAGTACCTCATAAGACCAAGGTTTACCAGTTTTCATCTCGATACACTGCAAATCCTTCCGGCCAGATTTGGCAGTGAACTGTGTGCCAGGGGGATACATGCCCATGTCGATGCCCTGGCCGAAGTCTATCAACTTCAGCATGACCGTTCGATCGGATATCAGGTCATCTGGCGATTGGCTGGCCTCCAGGGTTGGTCTGTTGTGATTGGTCAGTGGATCCGTAAGTGTAACGTGTAGAATATACAACACGCAATACAACCTATACCGCATATATATGTATACAACAGACTATACAATGTATACAACATATATATGTATACGACAAATGATACAATATTTACAAAAAAGAAAAACAACACAAACACAATTATACAAACATACAAAACGAGCAATACAAACAGAAAAAAAAGCAATACAACAAACTAACAATTTTCTGATGAGAACATTGTCTGGCTTGAGATCGCCATGCATTATAGAGCATTTGTGCATTGCATCAACGATTGCTATCAACTCATAGAAGATCCACATCACAAACCTACAACAAATGAATACAATTTGTATGCATACATGCATGCAAGTATGTATGTATATGTGTGTATGTATGTATGTATGTATGTGTATGTGTGTGTGTGTGTGGTGTGAATGGAAAGATAGAGATGGAGAAAGAAAGCAAGAAAGAGAAAACAAACCACTGGGGAAGTTCTAGCTTTTTACTCTTCTGTAAATTTATTAAGTCCTGTACGAAAATAATCAATCAATCAATCAATCAATCAATCAATCAATCAAACAATCAATCAATCAATCAATCAATCAATCAATCAATCAATCAATCAATCAATCAATCAACCAACCAACCAACCAATCAATCAATCAAAATCAACAAATAACAACAACAACAATAATAAATTATTATTATTTGCATAATTTATGAATACTAGCCAGTAGCGTTCCATAGTTGTGGAGTTCATTGATGAACAGACTGCCATCAGCGTATATGTAAGCGTCAGAGATGAACATGACGGAGTCCCTCTTAATTCGCGCCATAATTAATTATAATTAATGATCAATTATAATTAGTTATAATTAATAATCAATCATAATCAATCATAATTAATCATAATTAATCATCACCATCGCTGTCAGCATCGTTATCACCATCATTTTCGACATCAGCATCATCACCATCGACATCACCACATCTTACTATATCAATAATCCTCTTCTTCTTGGCCACTTCGTCGCCGTCGTCAGCGCCACCACCACCAACGTCTTCGTCGTCGTCATCATCGCCATTGATGATGACATTCAGCCTATCCAGTAGTGCTCTTGTTATGTAGAACTCCCAAGGGCACGCTGGTTTCTGGATCTGGTTAGTGGTTTTCGTTTCGGTGGATGTTGTTGCCACTAACCAAACAGTTAAACAACAATACAAACAAACGAACGAACGAACGAACAGACACACGAACAAACAAACAAACAAAACAAATAAACCCACCTTAGCAACACAGTCGACGGTTCTCAGATGTCCCTTGCCAACCAAATGAAATGCCTTTCCGAAACCACCCTCACCGAGAATTTGCTTCACAAAGTATCTACTGGGCCCTGTGTAATATAAATACATGCATACATACATACAAACAAACATACATACATACAAACAAACATACATATATACATACATATATACATACATATATACATACATATATACATACATACATACATACATACATACATACATACATACATACATACATACATACATACATACATACATACATACATACATACATACACACAAACATACAAAAATTAAACAATACTTAAGGCTATAGACTAAAACAAAACACCGACAACACGGACTAGCCAGCAAGCAAACTGACCGATGTCAACATAGCCATTTAGTTTAAAGTGCGGTAGGCAGCACATAGCAGTAGCGCTACCACTGTTAGATACTAGAGATACCATATCATGATACCCTTCGTACGATGATAGGGGTGGTTGGAGGTGATTTATAAAAGTCTTAATCGTCTTCTCGTTGTACGGATTCTCCAAATCAATCATTACAGATCTTTCAAAAATGGATGACACATTGTCAGCAGCTGATTCGCTCTCGCGGTCGACCAATGATTGATCCCCGTCGATTGCCGGCTGATTTTGATTGGTCGGTGACTGATTGGATCGACTCAGGACTCGGAATGGTGACAGAGCGATCGAGTTATTGAAGAGAACCGATGTTGATGGTGATTGTGCTTTGCTTGCATAGAGCCTTGCCAAGCCATTTGGTGCAATGGAACAACGCCTCCAATTTAATCTTGCTTTACCATCCTTATCATAATCATTGCTATTATTATTATTATTATTATTATTATTATTATTATTGTTGTTGATGGTCTTTTTAATAGTTTTATCATCAGTTAACGTGTCGTCATCATTGTTGTTGTTGTTGTTAACGCTATTTGACAACGACATCCTTCTGTTACTACTACAGTTGTTGTTGTAGTTGATGTTACTTTTGTTGTTGTTGTTGTTGTAGTTGAGTAGGCTTAGATCTCTGATAAGAGATTGTGTATCTCTATGGATAACATCATCAGCTGTTATGTTTAAAGTAGGATAGCTCAAATCGTTATTGTTGTTGTTGTTCTCGCTGTAGATGGCAGAAAGGTCGCAGTCATCAACTTTCATGGTGATCTCATTGGTGGTGCTGTTGTATATACGAAATTGTTGGTCTCTTCTTAATGACAGTTCTGGCTGCATAAGCAGTTGTTCCTCTGGTGAATGATACTGTTGTCGTTGTTGTAGTTGACGTCTTTGTGGCTGTGGTAGATATTGTTGAAGCTGTAGCGTAGTAGAAGTAGCGGCTGCAGCTGTAGTAGGCAAACGATGTTCAGTGGTTTGTTGCATGACTTGGAAAGCTTCTCTCACAACGTTGGTCATATTTTCTGTTGATGTTTTCATTGGCATGAAATCCCCATCCTCTTTGAACGCCTGGCCTAGAAAGACATTCTGCAAGGAGGAGACAATGCGATTTGGTTTCGAGTTGTTGAAATCGTAAAGATGGTATGGTTGTTGTTGTCAGTTTGTTTATGCTGTAATGATAGTTACTGTTGTTTTGTCATGGCTTAATGAATGTTAATGTCAATTCAATATTGTTATAGCGATGTCAGTTGTCAATTTCATTGTGATAAAATCTGTATTATTACAATTTTTGAGAGAGAGAGAGAGAGAGAGAGAGAGAGAGAGAGAGAGAGAGAGAGAGGGAGGAAGAGAGAGAAATAACCTACATTCATTTGACCGATGATTCTCGTCTCAGTTTCTCCATCATCACAAAGGAAGGTGTGGGGTTTGTTGTTGTTGTTGTTGTTGGTCTCTACGCTACTCTTCAACATCATTAATTGTCTTGTTGTCGTTGATGAAGTTGCTGCTGCTACTGCTGATGTTTTTGATGTCAGTGCAGTCAGCTGTTGTGAAGTTGGGGCAGCTACTGCAATTGCTTCAACGTCAACTTCGTCGCATTCCTTTGAAAATAATCGGTCATAGATCAAATATTGTCACAGATAGACAAGATAAACCAAAAACAAACAAACGATTGAACGAACAGCCAATCAACCAAACAACCAGCCAACCAACCAACCATACAAGAAGGATCTTGATATATCTCAAATGGCCTCTTGCCACTCTTCTCAAAGGGCTCTACCCCAAAGGGTAACTTTTTGTGGCACCCCAATGACGGCAACAACGATGGTGGTTGTTGCGGTTGTTGTGTAAGTCCACTTTTGACGGGCTGACTGCTGAAATGCGTCGGTTGCATTGTTTTCCTTGCATCTATGCTCAGTATGGTCTGTTTCATACCACCTTTTTGGTGGTTTTTTTAAAATGCTTCTTGAGTTTCATGAACATTTTCTAGCAAGAAATAATGAATGATTGGGAGTTTGAAAATTTTCTACATTCAGAGAAAGATAGAGATAGAGGCAAGGTAGGAAGAAGGGAGAAGATAGGAAAAAGAGAAAAGAAAGAACGAGGCAGACAGACAGACAGAGACACACACCTGATGCAAGCGTTTTATTCTTTAATGACGACGACGATGGTGTCTCTTTAAGTTTTCTCAAATCAATCTTGGCCTTGGCACTACTGCCATAAAATAACTGTTCCAGGTACTTGTGGGTCAGCCTTGTGTGAACTGTTTTCGACTGTGGTGGTTGTGGTCGTCATAGTGAAGTGGTGGCCGTCGTGAAGTGGTGTGTGGTGTGTATGAGTAAAGTGCTGTATCCAATTTTACTTCATTTTGGGTGAATTTCCTATGCATCTAAGTTTTTTATTTAAGCGACTTTTTTTTGTGTTTTGTTTGTTTGTATAGTGTGTATAAGTGCGTGCGTGCGTGCGTGTGTGTGCGTGCGTGTGTGCGCGCGCGTGTGTGTGTGATGAATGAAATGAAACATTTAATAATCAACACTCAAAAATAGAACCACTAACATCATCATCCTCCTCCTCCATACTTTCCTCTTTCTCTTCATCATCATCATCATCAACTCCCTTCCTCATCTCAACATCACCACCAACATTACAAAATTTTTCAATTTCGAAATTTTGCAGTGACGGCTTAGGCGTACATAATATCTCAGCAAAAGCTGGCCTCGAGGTAGTGTGCTTGGCTTGAGTCGCTGTTCTAATCTGTCCTTGCTTCGGTTCAAACGCACGATCATCCTCCTCAACATCTTCATAGATAACAAACTTCGCTGGTTTAATGCTTGTTGCCGTTGTGACCTGCTTTTGACCTGGTTCAAAAGCGTTGTCATCATTGCCACCATCGTCTTCGTATATAACAAATTTTGAAGATTTGGCATCTTTATCTGCCATGGTTGTTGCAACTTGCTTCTGACATGATGCAACAGCAAGTTCATCTTCATCATTATCCTCGTATATAACAAATTTTGGTGGCTTAACATCGTTATGTTTCGAAGCTGCTGCGGTCGTTGTGGCTGTGGTAGTCTGTGGCGGTGGTAGATGCGGTAGTGGTGGATTTAAAATCGTTGAAGGATCATTTGCAAAGAAGGTGGAAATTTTTATGGAATCATTATCGAGTGTAAAGTTCGGGCAGTCAAGTGATAATTCAAAACGACTTCTTTGACTGTTGTTGTTGCAACTGGAATGCAACATGATTTCAGGTGAAAATGTCCTTGCTGGGTCGACGGCATCCGGAACTGACGCCATTGCTACTGATGACGTCAACGATGTTAAACTGCAGAATGGCTGTGACATCATTGATGACGTCACGATTGGCGCGTCATCAAAAGGAAGTTTGTGTGGGAATGATGGTGTCGTCGATGACGTCATTAAAGAACTACTATCATCATCATGATACTTAGATTTATTATTATTATTATTATTATTATTATTATCATTACTAATGTTATCTACAATGTTATTATCGTATAAAGAATTTGACAGCATGGAAAACTTAAAAGGATTATCATCATTATCATTACCGCCAATATTAACATCATTATCATCATGAAAAAAAGCTGTAGTAGTAGTAGTAGTAGTAGTAGTAGTAGTAGTAGCAGCAAAAGCAGCAGCAGCAGTAGTAGTAACAGTGTTCATTCTGGCCAATGGAGTTGCATGAAGGCTTGATTTTGACAAAGATGATACATCACTTCTGCATTTAAATATAAATAAATATGAATAAATAATTAGAGAGAGAGAGAGAGAGAGAGAGAGGGAGGGAGAGATAGAGAGAGTTGAAAGTCATAAGCAAACAAGTAATTCTCATATATTCATTAGAATGATTGATAATTAAAAAAAACATACAAACAAACAAAACAAACAAACAAACAAAACAAACGGAGATACAAAGAAAGAAAGAGAGAGATAGAGAGAGAGAAAGAGAGAGAGAGAGAAACAAATGAATATACAATAATTACATTTCGTTGTCAGCTTCTTTCAGCACATCAAGCTTGTTTGAGGCAAATGACATTCCTAGAAATAAAGATATGGAATCTCTATAAAAACCGTAATTCTGAACAAATTTGTAAAACAATTTGAAAAATATTTTATTATTCATTATGAAATTACGTAATGCAAATAATTAATCATCAAATAATTGTTTAATGATTGTCATAGTTGAAAATATATAAAAAAAAGTTATTTTTAACAAACTTTTAAGCAAAAGGTTTTGCTGCTGCTGTTGTTGCTGTGGTTTAAGTTGCATATGTTGTTGTTGTTGTTGCAAGTTCGGTTGCACCTGTTGTTGTTGTTCACTGATAAGCTGTGAAAAATGTTGATTGGATTCTTGGGATTGCCTTCGAAAATCAACTTCATACACAGACGCTTGTTGTTGCTGCTGTACTTGTTGCTGCAGTTGTTGCAGCAACTGCTGTTGTTGCAGCAACTGCTGTTGTTGCAACGATTGTTGTTGTTGCAACAATTGTTGTTGTTGTTGAAACATCTGTTGCTCGGGCTGATTCGGAGAAATAAACTCTCCGGCAGTTGATGATTTTGTTAGTTGACTTTTCATCTGCCTTACATCATACCTCATTGCCATCAGCTCCTACATGTGTGTGTGTGCGTGTGTGTGTGTGTGTGTGTGTGTGTGCCAGAATTCATTATTTGTATGTCTTCATGTTTGCTCGGAGAAGAGAGAATGTATCAATGAGAGAGAAAAAAAAAATAGAGAGGAAAAAGACAGAGAGGGGAAAAGATACAAACCTCTATGGTAAACTATTCATTACAATAATTTATCGTATCATACATTGTGTGTGTGTGTGTGAAAGAGAGAGGGAGGAGGGAGAAAGAGAGCCAGAGAAAGAGAGAGAGAAAGAGAGAGAAAGAGAGAGGGAGAGAGAGGAGAGAGAGGGAGAGAGAGAGAGAGAGGGGGGGGGAGAGAGGGAGAGAGAGAGAGAGAGAGAGAGAGCCAATACAAACCTCAATACTGAATTCATCAACACCAAAAAACATCTTATCAGGAACCATGAGAATTTCTCTGTTAGTGTCATCATTGTTGTTGATGGTTTTTTGGCTACTACCGCCAAATAGAGTTGCTACTTCAGATTCTAAATGAGTCCTAGAGAAAGATTCAAATTAGTGATTTTTTTTTTTTTTGGAAAAAATACGTCAAAAATTGAACTATAAATATAGAAGGAAATGAAAGAACATGTATACCTGTAGAAACGATGTTACACATAGATACACATCCTCTAAAATAGCTAGCTTATTTACAAGCAAATTAATAAATGAATTTTTTTTTGAAAACACACACACACACACACGCACAAAAATATACACATAATAACCTCAGAGCATTAGATACAGATTGTGTTAATTTCTTATCTCTGAGAATGAAATAAAAATAGCTAACATAATTGGCTGCAAATATATTTAAATACTTAATTAACTAAGTATATGAATGATTAATTGATTGACTGAATGATTAATTAATTAACCAATCGACTGATTGATAAATTGATTAATTAATTAACCCTTCTTCTTCTTCTTCATCTTCGTGAATGTCTAGAGTTGCCTTTGGCACATCATGAGGTAGTCTCATCTTCAGCTGAAATGAAATAAAATGGATAAATTTTCAAATAAAAAATTCAGAATCTTTTATTAGACACAAACGAAATTACCAAATAACTAAACAAGCAAACAAAAACGAACGAACAAACAAACAAAAACGAACGAACGAATGAACAAACAAACTTATAAATAAAAAAAAGACACAGATTCTTTAAATATCTAAAAGTAACTGCTCTAACTTTATACTTATTCCATTTCTCGGGTTTCAGGCTATTCTCCTTATGACAACTATCTGACAACAAGTTGAGGTTTGCAGAATTTTCTTCATCTCTCTTGCTGTTGTTGCTGTGCTTGTTGCCGTCACAATTGATAGTTGGGTCGTTTTCATCTTGATAGATGGTCAACTTTTTCTGTTGGATCTGCTGATCTGAGTGGCCAGACCTTGCTGCTACTGTGTCCAGCTTTGCTTTGGCTGCAGCAAAAAAAAACATTCAAAAGAAGAGAGTTTCGTGATTGAGATTATGAACTTGAATTCAGTGAGGCATCAGTAATGAATATGAATACCTGACATCATTAACCTTGATGGTAAACTGTAACAGCAGAAAAATAGGCAACAAATAAAGATAACAATGGCAAAAATAGCATCAACACCAACAGTTACACACACACACAACAAACAGCAGATTTACTTTAAACAACACAACAAAACAACACTCCTCTAACAGACACACTAAACAGGGCTTAATCATACGTCTGAATGGCCTCAGAAGATACTAAATAAGACCGAGAGATGGCCATTTTATGTTTGTACTGATTTAGCACTAACCACCAGAAATTGGAATCCTGATGTTAGGAGCTTTCTGGCTTTTCCCACAGCCTTTCAAGACGCCAAACGCCATCCTCTGGTTATGTGGTCCAATGTTTTCGTTATTATCGTCGTCCCCATCTCCATCGTCGCCATCTTGTTTCTTCTGAACCTTCTTCATGGCACTAGCTGCTGCCCTTATTTGGAACTCTCTGTGGAACAAAAACATCAGTGACGAATAATATACGAAAAATTTATTTAAATAAAATTATTTTAAATTTAAATTTTTTATTTTGATGAAAATATTTTAATTATTAATTGAATAAATAAATTAATTTTGAAAAAAAAATAAAAAATGAAATTTGTATTAACCCATATCTAGCTATCAAAGCGACTCTATCCTTAGATTCAGGGCAATTGTCAATGCCTTCGGTGTATATCTAGACATTTAATTGAACGTTGAACATCATTCTAATTTGAAAAAAGAATCATTTTAAGATAATTACAAAGAAAATTTAGTTTGAACATAATGCGAAATGAAGTATTGGCTATCCACACATCTATCCACCCATCCACTCATTTGTATATAAAAAAAATTTCAATGTTTTTAATTAGAAACAGTTATTATAAGATAATTATGAAAATATATAAGTTTGTTCAAGATAAATTATACTTCCAAAAATATAGTTTCATAATATAATAAGATTTTAATAATAAAAATACAAATATATATGTCAAAGATGCAATTTTTGATAAAAATCACAGCACGTTCGGTGTTAGTCAACTTCCTATTTAACTTTTCAATTTTTCAAATGGTTGATCGTAAATCATTCTTAAGTTTTTTAAGTTCAAAACCAAAAAAATATGTGCATGTATAACCTGGTCGGCTCTTTTATAATTTTCAATCCCCTCATAGGTGTCAGCATATCTTTTGATAAAAAGTGGGTCACGACGGCCGATGCCCGACGCATAGACGCTGTCAAATGCTTCGACTTTGTCAGGACATGATGAGTCAATCTGATTATTAAAAGTAAATAACTTGAGTTAAACGGGAAAAACATAGAATAATTAAAGTTGTAAGTTAATTGAAATATTATAACATTGAAATTGTGTAGTAATTTTTAAAAAATATTTAGTAAAAATAATCTAATAAAAATTAAAATAAACTCTCACATAGCAGATACAAATCTTGACATATCTATGATCATCATAATATTCCTTCTGCCTGTAGAAGTGGAGGACACATTTTTTCAACAGAGGGCCCCAAACTGCCCCAGTGGGGTCCTTGTTCATGGCCCATTCAATATATCTATGATGTTTTTGTTTTGGGAAAGAGAATGTTTTTACTTTTTATGTTCGACTAGTTAGGTTAGTTAGGAATTTAACATTCAAATGATATTGTTTAACTAGGAAATAGTTGCATAATATATGTAATGTGTAATAATCTTACTTAGTTAGGGATTTAGACAAAGATTCTAAATATTGAATATTCTAGAAAAAAAAGGTCACTAACTCTTTCCATTTGCCAAGAAGGTCACCTCCTTCATTCGAACGGATCTCTTGTTCGAATTTGCTGTATAATAAATTGTTAATTTCAATTAAATCATAAATTCAATAGTATATCTATATAAAATATATATTACAAATTGTCTTCCTACTCTACTAATTAAGAACCGAATTTTAGAATTAAAAAAGACAAAAAAATTATTTATTCAATTTTTAAAAAAAGAAATGAAATAATATAGAGGAAATGAAACTCACTACTGCCTCTTCTTAAACTCGGCAGATCTAATTGACATGGAGGAAAGTTCGTCTGCCGAACGTCCACTATCCAATCTTTTAATGTTTTCTTTATTATTTTCCCAATCCATTTTTTATATTTTAGATTAAATTTTGAAATATATTTTGAATGTTTTGCGAACGATAATTAAAACAAAAAATTTAAATTTAGCGGGACCAAAGAATAAAGAAAAACCTTAACGTAGAAATTTTTTCTAACAGGTTGTTTATCTAGTTACGCTGGTTAAAAGTGGATTCAAACAAGATATATATAATTTAATTGCTTTTTTTAATTTTAACAATCGTACGTTTTCACTAAAAAAATCCACTTTTTCGGACGTGATTTCATAAAAAACTAAATTCTGGCTACCGGACAAAAATTAAATGTCGACTTTAAGCCGGCAAAAAGGATGAAAAAACGTCGGGAACTTGACGCCCTCCTAGCCACTAAATCTTCATCATCGTCCCAGCTCAGCTTAGGCAGAGGTTCCGGCAGCAACAATAGAATAATGAGAAATGGCAGCCATGAGTTGTTGAGGAACGATTCCTACTCGTCGGAATGTGATGAGTATTTGGGGGCAGGCAAGGAGCTTTTACCAAGGTTTTTTTTATTAAATTTAGTTTTATTATTATATAAAATTAAATTTGTTTGATATTTATTTTACTTCCATTTTAATGTAATATTATGATTTTCTTTTTACACAAAAAATTCTTATTTCATTCTTAAATATAAATACTTTTATTAAATTTAAAATGTTTTATTTATTTTTTTGTTATATTAGAAAAAGTTCCCAGTCGAACAAATGTTTCATCTGCTTGCTTCTCCTATTATCGGTACTAATCCTCGCCTGCGGGGTCGTCATTCTGTGTCTAACATGGATGTTCGTCCACCTGAAAAAAGAGATACACGTTCTTAAGGACAACCTCAATAAAGGTTTGTTATTCAATGGTACTGTGATTCAAATGCAAAGTGAATCCAGATTACTATGTGACTGTTATTCATATTTTAAATTAGCTTTTAAACTTTTTTACTTTAAATTAAATTTAAATTTTACAAAATTTTAAAATTATCTCAAGGTGAGATAATGGATTTGAATGCAAGAATCAACGTACTAACAAGCAGATTGGATGAGATGGATCAAAAATTATCCAATAAGAGTACTAACAATATTAAAAATACTACTGCAACCACTACTACTACTAATAACACTACTAATAATATTAATAATAAATTTATTTCTGAGTTAAATATCTCAGTCTCACAGATGGTCATGAAGGTGTCTTTTTTTTAATTATTGTATTAGGAGTGTTGTTGCTAGATATTGTATTGTGTTGTATTTGTATTATATTGTATTGTATTGTATTTGTATTGTATTGTATTGTATTTGAATTCTATTGTGTTATATTGTATTTGAAGTCTGTTGTATTTGAATTGTATAGTATTTGTATTGTATTGTATTTGAATTGTATTGTATTGTTTTTGTATTTATTGAATTGTATTGTATTATGTTTGAATTGTATTGTATTTGTATTGTATTGTATTGTATCTGCATTGTATTGTATCGTATTCTCTCCATCTTATCTAGACAAAAGAATTAGATGAGAAGTTATTTTCAATTGAGAAGCACAGCAAAGCCGATAGATTCATGGATAATGTAACATGGTTTTTTTTTTAAAAAAAACTTGAAAATATCAATTTTTTTAATTAAATAAGTTAATTGGTTACATTTATTATTATTTATATATTATTATATTTTTATAAAACTATATTTATATATTATTTATTTACCTCTGATGCTAATTCAAAGCAGAGAGTAAACTTTAACCTTTTAACCTTTATTTCAATCAATAATGATAGATTTTATTTTCCCCATTTTACATTACAAAACACGTGCAGGTTATGAACCAGACGGTTAGTGACATTGGCAGAGAAGTCGTGGCGTTGAAGAATGACGTCACGGCGTTGAAGGGTGACGTCACGGCGTTGAAGGGTGACGTCACGACGTTGAAGAATGACGTCATTACAATGAGTAAAGATCCACGCCATGTTAACGTTACCATTGGTATTAGTGATACTTCCAATAATGATAATAATAATAATAATAATAATAATAATGATGATGATCTAATACCAAAAAATATAAATAGCAATCCTGAAGGTGGTAATAATGGAAAAATTACTAGCAAAATTAACGTTAAAGGAGATGACGATAATAATGATAAAGTCCATAGAGATGCTACTGCTACTGCTGCAGCTGCTGCTGCTACTACTACTACTACTATTACTACTACTTCTGCTACTATTACTACTACTACTACTTTTACAAAGATTACTAAGAATGTTGATGGTAATGAATGATAGAGTCATTGAAGAAAATATTATTACTATGGTGGTGATGATAATTTTATTATTTATAATAATTATAACTATAATAACTAATAATTATAACTATTGTTATAATTTTTATGATAATGACTTTTAATCTTAATAACTAAATAGCAGCATATCAGCTGGAATTAATAAGTAGATGACGACTATGATGATGATAACAAAAATTCATTCATCATTATATCATCGAGTGGCCATCACCATCTTCTGTAGTATCATTATCTATCATTATTCATCATTATATCATTGAGTGGCTATCAATCATCTTTAGTATCATTATCTAAATCAGAAATTCGAACCTAATTAACATTAAATTCAGTTGACTTAATTAAAATTAATTAATTAACTTTATTTTTTTACTGCTTATGTTGGTTTTCTCTCAATTATTCATCATCAGATGTGTATAAAAATACTATAACGTTAATAATAATAATAATAATAATAATAAAAGTAATAATAAAGTAATAAGAAATAATAATAATAAATTTCTTTTAATAATGTGCATATTGTGAATATTTAGTAAGTGTTTATGTATAGTATATATATATATATATATATGTTTGTGTGTGTGTGTGTGTAATAATGTGTAACAAACACATGTTTTATGTGTACGTGTGTGTGTGTGTGAATGTCAAAACCACCAATAGACTGTATTGTGTGTATTTATTTTGTATTGCGTGTTTAAAGAGTATTTTAATACATACGTATATATATTTATTTATATGTGTGTGTGTCTGTACGTATGTATGTGCGTGTGTGTATGATTTTAATATAAATATCTGACAATTTATCTGAGTTTCAGCAAAAATTCAGTTTCAGAAAGATACAGAAATTATCGATAATGTGTTTGTTTGTGTGTGTGTGTTTGTGTGTTGTTTTATAAAAATCATAACCCCAATCACGCCAAAGTATATAAAATGTGTAACTTCTAATGTTATATGTGTGTGTGTGTGTGTGTGTGTGTGTGTGTGTTATTTAAGACATTTTTTTTCAAATTCTCTTTTTTTGCATTTATTCCTCTCCCTTTATTTTAGATCTCTCCCAGTTCGTTCACGCATTCATCCATTCAGTTATTCATTCATTTAATCTATCTTCCATCGTCTAGTAATTGTTTCGTTCGGTTTTAATTATTCATCTTTCAATCAATCATTCATTCGTTCATTCACTAATTCTTTCTTTCGTTCATTTACTCATTCATCTTTGATTAGTTGGTTATATTTATTAGTTTATTTATTTGAAAAAAATCTTGTTCTTCAATTTAATATTGATGTTAGCTGTTATATTAATATATCAAATATATATATATATGTGTGTGTGTGTGTGTGTGTGTGTGTGTACGCCACGTTATTTTATTGGTATTAAATAACACTGAAAATTTTTCCATAATATTTTGTGTTGCTTTAAACTTATAAATAAAATGGCGTCTCTTTCAATTTTCTTATCTCTGTTTCTATCTCTCTGTATATCTATCTATCTATCTATCTATCTATCTATCTATCTATCTATCTATCTACCTGTCTATCTATCTATCTATCTATCTATCTATCTATCTATCTATATACCTATCTATCTATCTATCTATCTATCTATCTATCTATCTATCTATCTATCTATCTATCTATCTATATACCTACCTATATACCTACCTATCTGTCTATCTATCTATCTGACATATCTATCATAAATAATATTTTATGTAGCATAAAACTATAATTCATAATATCGTGACAGAGTTGAGAATGAGCAGGCCTTGTGAATAACTCGTTACGAAAGTCGTTTGATGAATACTAGAACAATGTTTACGATGAAATAACGATACTAACATACATACATGCCAATATACATACATACATACCAACAACATACATACATACATGTGTGTATGTCTTTATGTATGTATGTAAACACATACATGAAGACATACACACTTTTTTAAATCATCATTTTTAATATCGCCATAAACGAATAGAGCCCTATATAAATAGCATTATTGTTATTGTAACGTTACACGTACGGCGCTATATAAATATTATTATTATTAATTGCAAATAAATCGTTATAAAAATGATCCAGTCTGTCCAAAGATGTTCAACTATAAAATTAAGACAATGGTAAATGTGATAGAAATGAATGTATGTGTGTGTTTATATGTTGATCGTTAGGTAATGTTCGTTCTTTCGTTTGTTCGTTCACTCATTCATTCATCTATCCATTCATTCATTCACTCATCTATCCATTCATCCATTCATTTTCCGCTTGAAAGTGCGAATGACACTGACTCTGTGGTCTTTGGTGATGACGACGATGACGATGATGATCATTCATAATGAAGATGACGACGATAACGATGATAATAAAAAATTTTATGCATTCGATAAGGTGGATGGATGGATGGATGGATGGATGGATGGATGGATGAATGGATGAATGGTTAGGTAGGTTGGTAGATATTGATGGAATGTTTAATTTTTTATGATGATGTTACGGCAACAACTGCTCGTTTTATGATGATGATGATGACGATGGTGATGTTGATATAAAAAATTGTTATCATTCACTTGTTCGTTCGTTCATTCATTTATTCATGCATTCATTCATTTTTCCATCTATCACTCAATCTACTTGAATATCAATTGATCAAGAAAATTCTAGTCTTCTTTTCTACCTTCTAATATGAATTTCATATTTCCATTCATTCAATCATTCATTCATTCATATTTTCACTCATTCATTCATTCATTCACACATTCATTCACCCAACGATTTGAAATCCTTTTTTGATGCACTTGTTTGGTGCTATCTAACTCATAAATACGTCTCTTGGAATAAATAATAAATTAAGATTATTATTATTATTGTTATTATTATTATTATTGTTGTTGTTGTTGTTGTTGTTGTTGTTGTTAGTACTACTACTACTACGACTACCTACTACTATAATTTCTGTTATGGCTTTTTAGTTTATTCGTTCATTCATTTATTCATTCATTTCTCAATTCATTCATCTATCCATCCGTTTGTCCATTCATCTACACATCTATTTTTGTATTCATCCATTCGTTCGTTCGCTTGTTCATTCATTTATTCATTCATTCAATCGCTCACTCACTCGGTTATTCTTTAGATTGCTGTTTAACGCACATCATCACCGCAGATATCAATTTGTGTTTACTAATGTTGTTTGTATATATCTCTCTTTCTCTCTCTCTCTCTCTCTCTCTCTCCATCTTTCTCTCTTTCTCTCTCCATCTCTCTCTCTCTCGCTTACTCACTTTTCTTTCTCATTCTTTCGATTTTAATTCTTAAATGTAATTCTTTATCTTTGTACTTTTTGATGTCTCAAATATTTATCAGTTTACCTAACCATCCATCCATACACGCATACATACACACAGGCAAACAAACACATACACATACAAGCACACACACACACACACACACACACACAAACACGTGTATGTTCTTGTTACGAAGGCGATATAAAAGTTTATAGTCTGATTATAATCTAAAAGGTTGATAAAACTTGGAAGCATAAATCTCCTAGAAACATATTAAATAGAATATATATGTCTGTATAATTGTTTGTTTGTCCGTTCGTTCGTTCATTCGTTCAATCAATCATTCATTCATTCATTCATTCATTCATTCATTCATTCATTTATTCATTCGTTCGTTCGTTCATACATTCATTCGTTCGTTCATTCATTCATTCACTCATTCACACAGCGACAGTTGTTGAGATGGATCTAGCTGGAGTACATTTAGCAGGGTATATAAAATCAAATGCGGTTGATAATCCGCTCGTAACTCTTCTAGTTGTCACTCAACACGTCTCAACTGTTCTTCACAGTCTGTTCTTCACAGTCTGTTCTTTCTATTTTGTTCTTATATTTGTTTGTGCGTTCGTTCGTACGTTCATTCATTTGTTCGTTCGTCAATTTATTTGTTCATTTTTTCGTCTATTATTTCGTTCGTTTTTTATATGTTTATTCATTCATTTATTCATTCAGTCAGTCACACACGTACACACACACACACACAAACGTACACACACACACACACACAAACGTACACACACACACACACACACACAAACGTACACACACAAGTACATACAAATTATAAAAACTCATCTTGTAATATATACAGCCGTGTGCCATCAGCGTTTAATTACACGTGCTAATTACGGTATTGTATTCTACGTCTTATATGTTGTATTGTATACAAATTGGTATTGTATTGTATACGAATATACAAATACTTATATGGTATGTATGTACAATTGTACATGATTGTATATTTTTGTCATATACACTGCGTGTGTTTCTCCGATGTGATCTGTTTTTTAAAGATGTGTGTTTGTGTATGTGTGACACACACACACACACACACAAACACACACACAAACACACACATACTCATATATCTAACATTAAAGGTTTTCAATCATTTGTTTACGCGTTCATGCCTTTGAGAGCAATCGAAGAAAAGTAAACTACGGATGACTTTGTAATCTATCGTCACTTTTTACTTTTTAATTTCTCTCTCTCTCTTTTTGTCTCTCTCTTTCTCTCTCTGTCTCTCTCTTTCTCTCTCTCTTTTTCTCTAGTTTTTAGACCGCCTCCCTTTCTCTATCTCTATAATTCAAATAAACAAATTAAAAAGTACGAACAGAGAGAGAAAGAGAGGGTGTGAGACAAAAAAAGAATCGTAATAAATTAGAAAAAGAGAGTGAGTGAGAAAGAGAGAGAGAGAGAGAGAGAGAGAGAGAGAGAGAGAGAGAGTAAAAAGAATTCGGAGCATCTTCTTCTTAAATGGTTATATTTACGAGTTGAGGAGATAACAATGTGTGTTATTGAAATAAACCTATTTACCTTTTCACACACACACACGCACATACACACACACACACACACGCAAACACACACGCACGCACACACACACGCACACACACACTTATATATATTTATATATCATAAGGTTATATTGATAAAAAACACGCTGTCTATTCATCTATCCATCTATCTATCTATCTATCTATTCATCTATCCATCTATCTATCTATCTATTCATCTATCTATCTATCTATCTATTCATCTATCCATCTATCTATCTATTCATCTATCTATCTATCTATTCATCTATCCATCTATCTATCTATTCATCTATCCATCTATCTATCTATCTATTCATCTATCTATCTATCTATTCATCTATCCATCTATCTATCTATCTATCTAGCTATCCATCTACCTATCTATCCATATATGTTATATTAATGTTGTTGTTGTTGTTATTATTATTATCATTATTATATATTGCCTATATCTGTTGGCTTTTAAGTTTATCATTGCATAAAACACAAAATTTATTAACCCTATTTTTAGTGCATTTTTCTCTCGTCTACACGTGTGTATATGTTTGTTTGTATGTGTGTGAGTGAGTGTGTATGTGCGTGCGTGTGTGTGTGCGTGTGTGTTTGTGTTTGTTGGTTTGTATATATGTATGTACATTTAAATAAGTGTGCGTGTGTGTATGTGTGTATGTACGTTTAAATGTACGTGCATGTGCCGTCGAG